TTTCCAATGGAAACCATTGCTGACCAGGGCAAAGCTGTGCTGTTAATAGCCAAAACAGTCATCATCAAAAAATGCATGTCAAAGTATGATCCTGCAAGTCACATGATCAAAAGTCTGAACTTCTCTTCTGCAAACACCCCTCTGATGTTTCAGGTACTGGCTATATGGTACTGCTCATTGAAGCCCAGTTTGTGATGCACCGTGGAAGGCTCAGAGCATGACTTCACTCATGTCATGTGTTCATGAAGTCTCAGCTGAACTTCCATACCCATAAAATATTCCTGATAGGGCTCCCATTACTTCTGTTATTCACTGAAATAGACTCTCTCATTGCTTGGATTGAGATGTATAATTGTAAACTATTGAGAAACACAAAGTGTTCTTAAGGTTCTACAATACTGTCTAAAAATATAAGACACTCAATACTGTCTAAAATATAAGCTTGTGAACATGGAAAATACCAAAATGAAAATAATATCACTTATATGTCTACCTGGAAAAAAAGAGAAAATTTTATGTTTTCTCAAGGTCATCCTACTAAAAGATATCCATCTGAAAATTGCTTTGACCATCTTTTAAAATATGTGCTTCTTTTTTTCTGTGCTACCAGGAATCAAACTCAGGACCTTTCACTTGCCAGGCAGGCGCTAATGCCACTGAGCTATATCCCTGGTCCCCATAAAACATCTTCTTTACTTTCACTAATATCAATAGCCAGAAATTTGATTTACTGTATTATTTTTGAATTTTGTGTATCACTCATGTCAAAAGTGATTCAATCAAATGCTCTAATGGAGAATATCTTCTTTATGCAATAACTCCAAGCATTTCAAACATGTATGCAAAATTCTTTCTTTCTTTCTTTTTCTTTCTTTCTTTCTTCTTTTTTTCTTTCTGCACTGGATTAAGCAGCATATTGTTGAAGCTGATTCTGCTCACAATGGATTACCAGTGAGTCTCAGAGAGGAGTGAAGTGCTTCCTTGTACATGATAGATGGTAGCAGCTCTGGGCACTGTGCTGGGGCAGGAAGTGGGACAGGAAAGGTCACACATGGCACAGTTGTATGCCTGTGAAGTGTCCAGGACAGGTGCATTGACAGAAGCAGAAAACACAGTAGCAGTCACCAGGACCAGAGTGGGTGGAGGTAGTGATGACTGTGAAGGACTCTGAGGTCTCTTTTGGGGCGACAGAAATGTTCCAAGGTTTGGAGCACTTGCCCAGTGGCCTTGCAGGAGGGGCTAGCACAATGCCCGGCTGGAACACCTGTTGCCCCCTGAGGTGGCATGGCTGGGGAGACCCAGCAAGGCCCATGCTGAAGGGTGGAACTGGGCATTTATCAGGGCAGCTCAGGCTCACAGCCCAGGCTCTACCTGAGCCCTGGACCACTCCCTACACTGTGGGGTGCTGCTCCCCTTTTCTTCAAGTGCCATTGCTCCCAGCAGCCAGTGTGTGACAGTTGCATCATCCAGGGCACACTATGTGACTCTGGGGTCAAAAGTCACCTATGGGTACAGTTGAGCAGTGCCTGGCCACCTCCAGTCAGGCTGGGCCTCCCCGTCTCCTGAATGGAGGGGTTTATTGTGCTGTAAGAAGACTCTGTAGATGCCAGGGTCCACCCAGTGAGCTCTGTCCTTCTGCACAGCTTTAATCCTGGTCCACAAGCCCAAGGCTGCTCTGATTCAATGAGACCTTCAGTGCTGCATCAGGCAGTAAGGCTACACCCAGGAAGGCTGCAGAGACCACAGCTTAAGGGCCCATCCATGGGCCATGGTGTTGGACTTAATTTAGAAAGTCAAAGTCACTTGTAGCAAAGTCACTTTCTGCCTTTTCATAGGAGACATGAAGACCCTACCCAACAGCCCAGCTGGGCACTGTGACTCCACAGTGGGCCAGATGGCCTTTTTGCTACACCTGTCATTTCCCTGGAAATTGTGACAGCTGAATTTTTGCATGACGTGGCTCCAAATGGAATTTGTGAAATGTGTCTGTTTCTGGTTTTGGCTGTGGGACGAATCCTTCACCCAGTCATGTTGGGAAAAGTAGAAGCAGCCACTTCTCCTTCCTCATGACTGGAGTCAGTGCTCAGGAAGTATTTCCTAGATGGGGGGGAGTGATGAGGGATGGGAGGACAGGTGCAGGAATAGATGGATGGAAGGATGGAGGGGAGGCTAGGTGGAGGTGTTCAGCCAGATGCACTGCGGAAGACGACTCCTCTTTCAGATCTGGGTTCATGCCTACCTCTGCTGGCTGTGACCTTGGCCAGGTCAATCTATGCTGAAGAGTTAAAGGTTGAAGGCCCTGGCCCTGGTGGGCGGGGCCAGAGCCTAGACAGGACGGGCAGGGTGGGTTGACCCGGGTGTAAGACAGGTTCTAATGACTCTGCAGGTGCTGGTGAGGCTGAGGATGTGCTCTAGAGCCGTCCAATTCCATCCGTCCTGGGTACTTGGTCCCCGAGTCCCGGGCATCTGTGCTACTCTTTGCACCTGCACAGGGCTCTGCCGGAGACATCAGCGAGTGAAATCTGCTGGACCCGGAGGCAGGACGGTGTAACGTCAGTCACAGAAGCTGCTGCTTATGTATGGTGTAGCCCTCCCAGAGTGGCATGCTGCCTGTCACAACGTGATCCCCCACCCCAGGACAGTCCTCCTTCTTCTGTGCTGGGAGTGGGGTCTCTGTCTCTCTCCCCGTTAGTCAGAAGGCAAATTTTTCCTCTAACTCAGCTCTGCCAACCAGGACTAGGGAATCCGGCCTGGAGGTGTCCTGCTTGTGCTGGACAGCACAGAGGGCAGGAAGGTGATTCTGGGGGGAAATGGACTACATGTCACAGGTCTCGAATTACCCCGTCAGGCAGTTAGATGGGCCCAGTGGAGTTCTCCTTCCGGGTCTGTCCTTCTGGAAGGGCCAATCGAGGGCGCCCTGCGCCTCCCCTGAGGTCCGGTGGCATAGGGGCCCAGGGACAGTGACTGGCATTATGACGAAGGGTGCCCGGAGCAGGTGAGCTCCCGGGTTGAAGGGTTCCCACCCACCTGACTGCCGGCCAGCCCATTGGCCTGTGCTTCAGCTCCGCCCCCCCATTACTTAAATAATACTTTTTGTCTATTTTATCTATAACAGTAATTGATTTACCCTTATCAATCTGGTGACCATATGGAAATCAGAGATGAGATGCGTACCATTAATGGATGTATAGTGAGACTCAAAACCAAGCAAGTAATGCCCCCGCTTCAATACAAACTTTACTAATAATTAATTTCCTTATTATCTTGAAGATATGGATTATATCCTTCCCTTTCCTTATTAACTTGAAGATACAGGTTACATCATTCCCTTGCTTTTTGATGCAAACTATACAATCAAAAAATTTAATCTCTAGAAGAATGCTAAACATATACTACTTTGTAATGCAGTTTTACAACAGGAAATAATTTTTACCACAGGGATATTAATTTCTTTCAGCAACAGAGTCAAGTCTTCAGCTCATATAAAAAATTTGCTCCCAAGAAGAAACATGGAGTTTCACTTTTCCAATGTAAAAGTCATCCCAGTAGATTTTTAAAAGAAAACATAATTCTTTTACAGGAAAACAGTATTTATTATCTAATAGACTTATATCTACTAATGAAGGTCACACAGCAAAAGAAAGACTATTAAACTTGAGAAGACTATTAAAGTTGACTACGATATTGACAAGTCCTATCAATCTCATAAGGAAATCCTAGCTAATGTTAATGAAATGTTACTAAATTCCTACGGAAAATACAGTAATTGTGACATCATTAATGTAAAAATTAGAACCCTTCAAACAAATGGAAAAGTATAAATATAGTATCAATATCAATGCTTTAATATTGAGGCTAGGAAATATAAAATGTGTGCTAAAACTTGTTTATCACAGAATATGGATACTGCCTTTTACTTTCAGTGCTTTAGACCCAAAGCCTTAGATCAGTCATAGCGGACCTCTTAGACCAGACCCATTTTCAGTCTGTAGCAGTCAGTTTACCTGCTGTGGATTTGAACTCAGCTGGGAGCTGCTGGAAGGACCAGTGACTGCTCTGATTTCAGAGCTCAGCTGGCCCCTCTCCAAGATGGCTCCAGGCCAATCACCCTCTCTAGCAAAAGATGGAATCTCACAGCACTCACTGCCAGCTAGTGCAGTCCTTCATGTCCACTGCTCCCCTCCACTGCTGTGCCTCTTTGGAAAGCCTCTGGTGTTGCCAGCAGTCAATGTATGTCTGCAGGTTTGAACCATTCCTCCCATGCAGTGTGTCCCTATCTACCTCCTTCTTCTTCTACCTTGAAGTTTCTCTCCTTGCTCTCCCCTTAGACTGATTCTTGCTTCAAATCCTTCCTGAGTCCAGGGGATGTACTTCTCTCCTTCTTGTATCCCTCCTCTTGCTATTTTTCATGTGAACAGAGATTCTCAGACTCTTTCTCTGCTGTTAACCATTCTGCCATCTTTCTGGAAGTCTCCAGGGCGTGTGTTTTAGAACTTGCAATGATAACAAACAGCTGGCTGCAGAGCATGTGCTCTAGGTTCAACACCCCTGCTTTAGACTGTTACCACACCCTAGGAACCCCAATGATAGGTTCCATCTGATGACTATCTGAAATTAAATTATACAATGTGACTAATGAAACATTTTGCTTTTTTGGTACATGCTGTACAATTAAACTAGATATAATCTTGGCTGGAAAAGGCCAGTTCAGAAAGGTTCATTTTCTATCATGTCAAATCAATAGCAAATTCAGCAGAGGCGTTAGGTCTCTGTAACACTATATCAAAATAGCAAATTTATAGTGCCTTTCAAAAGCTCCACAGTGATAAAAATAAAAGTCAAGAGAAGCAGTATTACTTCATTGACAGTTTATTAGCTCTTCCAGTGTTTCAGAAGGACACAAGGTTTCAATGCCCTAACATGAATGCGACAGAATTGGACTTAAAATGTGCTGAACAAATATACTGATTAAATCAGTCTATTGATATAGTTTTTTTTTGGCTTATTGGTAATGAATATCATCAGTCTTCCATTCAGGTGATCCTAGAGTTCAAAGTTTAAGTGTTCTAAAATTGAAGAAAAAAAAAGTTAAGTTTACTCATCACCTAAATCTCAATGTCTATAATAATTTGCTTATATTCTAATATATTCCCACTTATAGATACTTTCTTGTGTGTTCCCAGTCTGTGCCTCAATTAAAATGTGAAATGTGCCCTACTCAACAGTTCTCACAATATTTTATCACTTCCGGGGCCGGGAAGGTGGCTCAGTGGAATAAGTGCTTCCCTGGCAAGCACAAGGGCCTGAGTTCAATCCCTGGTTCTGCCAAAAAAAATATACATTTTATTACTTCCCCTAAATCTAGTTCCTGTTTAGGCTAGATGACTTCATGGATCCTAACAAATATTTTGCCAAGAAAGCAACACTACTAAGTACTGATAAAGATTGGTGAATGAAAATGAGCTAAAGAGCAAGGAAAAATGCCAACATTGGCCAAAAATAGAGTATACTTGCCAGAGAACCTCATAAATAAGGTCACTTACTATGATTCATTTCTCTTCAATCTAGGCCAAAATAAAGGGGAAAAGGAACCATTTATGAAGTTTAGGTTAACATGTGTATGTAAACATGTAAATCCGGAGGAACCCTTTTGTTGCATAAAGGAGAAAGCAGCACAGACAAGCAAAGTTATTCCTTTCTGGTCATGCCTTGTTTATACAGGGACTTAACTTGCCTATGGCAGGGTTTACGGAAAACTAAGATTACAATATGCTGCTAGACAAGACCTTGATAAACAGTTCATGTACCACATTCACAGCTGGAGTAAACGTCAAGATTAACAGACATGAGGACCAAAATGAACGTACCTTGAAGTTGGAGAGGAATAAGCCTGTATATATGCTGGTTACACTATCTCATATTGGTTATTTGTTATAGCATGTGAGAGGCAGTAGGCTAGAAAGATTCCAATTAGCTGGAAAGAAAATGTGAATAAAATTTAACACACACACATATATATGACCTTTAAGATCCAGGTTATAGATATGTTTTCCTTTTACTTATATTTTTACCAATAATTTCCTTGATTTTTCAAGACTTTTTTTTTTTCAGAACTGGGGATTGAACTCAGGCCCTTGCGCTTGCCAGGCAAGCACTTATCCTACTGAACCATCTCCCCAGCTTCATCAAGACTTATTTTTGAAATTCTGCAGCATACATTCAGTGAATGTATGTGAAGTTTTACAACTACTGTGACTTAGAATTTCATCACTAGCACTGAAGGAAAATTCATGAGTCATATAAGTTTTGGGGAAACCCAAAATTGCCAAAAAAACAGTGATATGGCTTAGAATGAGCATTTTATGAAGTAAAGTCTATGAGAAAAGCAGTATTGTAATGATATAAGTGTTCTTTAATATCTGTGTTGTCCAGTACAGTAGCCACTAGCTCCATGTGGCTCCTGAGCACTTCAAATGGAGCTAAAGTAACTAAGGTTTTTATTTAATAATTGTTCAAAGGATACTACTGGTTATTGTAATCATGCAGATACAGACAGTTATGCATGCTGCTTTATAAGTATATGAGGACTAGTCTTGAATTAGTCTTCTTTCCACAGTGTTTAATATAAGGAAAAATATCCAGGGTCTAAAAAGTGATTTAGAACCATAATAAAAACTCATGCTGCAGTAAAAAGCAGAACTTTGGAAAGCCAATGGAATCTACAACATTAATATATATACAAAATGATAGGCACATATTGAACATGGGATACTAAGATACAAATTTTCAGAGGTTAGAACTCATGCGCAACCACTAGGCAAGAGGAGTCAAAGAATGAACTAACTTAATAGCACTTTTAGATGTTTGAATGACTGTAGAGAAAAATCAGTTCCATCTATTTCATATTTTATTTAGTTAACTAAGAGGACACTAGGTGCTCCAAAAGTTACCTACTTCAAAAAATATATACACTGCAATGAGGCAATTCTAAGTCTTGCTTTTTATATTTTCAAGTCATGATTGGCCATGGTAGCAGAAATAAAAATTTAGAGAACGCTAACTGTGGAGACCAGTGTTGGAAACCCTAAGATCCAAGCTACCCTCCCCTTCTTAAAAAACTAACCCAAATAATGATCCAACTGCAAACCAAAATCAGAAATACTATGCATACAAATCATACTATTTCACTATAAAAAATGTATTTCTACACTGTGACTGCTAACAGAGAGCTTTGTGAAAATATGACTTCTCGTACTGCCCTCACTTGATCCAGGCCTTGAAGCAAAAATTTTCAAGCCTTGAAAGTGAAAATGGAGGGCCAATCAAATAGCTCAGTGGATTAAAGCAACTGCAAGCGGGCACAGGGGCTGCAGTTCAATAACCTGGCCTGCTGTGCTGGCCAGCCCCCTGGGTGTGATGAGCCACAATTAAGCCTGGGCGTGGTGGCACGTGCCTGTAATCCTAGCTCTTGGGAAGCTGTAAACAGGCAGATCACTATGAGTCCAATCTAATAGTGAGACCCTGAACACTCTTCCCTAAAATACAAAAAAAAGAAAGAAAGTGAAAATCTTTAAAAAAAAAAAAAAAAAAGAAAGAAAGAAACTATATGGACTTACCTGGAAGCAAGCAACTCCAAAGGAAATTCCGGCAACAACTCCCATTTCTGACTCAATGATGGCCATCACCTTTAAAAAACAACCCTAGTAGGGGAAGAACATTAAAGTACAACATAAACAATCTCTGGTTTTCTTTATAAAAATAAATTCTTTGATCATACTATCTGCTAGCTGTATAAAATCAAGTCCTATCTACCCTACTCACTTCAGATTATGTACTCCAATGTTAGTCAAAATTAAGTCTATTCTGCATTATATCCTTAAATATTTTTCAAGTAAATTTTTAAGGACTTCTTACTTCACTGTTGATCTTATCTGCATCTCTCTGTGGAGAACAATCTTCAAGTTTACAGCAACTCTTGGGAAATCCTTTTTCTGCATAATAACGAGTATCTTCCCAATTTCTATAATCAGTGACACCACAACAATGCAACTGAAAAATCCAACAAAAGCATTTATATTACACATTACAACTCTGTAGTCAAACATTCAAAGTAATATCATCTAAAGTTTACACTCAATACATTTATTACATTTCTTTCTCAACAGATTCTGACACCAACCATGACAGTTTGGGACATACTTTCCTGTTAAAGTTGGCACTAATTATATTTGCCTATGATGTAAATGGAGAGGGAAGAGAATAGGGTCATATGTGAAGAAAATGAAATGCAGTTCTGTCACTTAACATCTTCCCACACTTTTTCCCATACAGGTAGAAACTATGTAGTAGCCTGACTTTGTCCTTTTCAGTAAGGTGACAGTGAATATGTTCCCTTCTAGAGAAGCTACTGCCTATAAGCTCTTACCATACTTTGGATCTTGTCTACTGCTTCGCTCCTATAATCTCCTGTAGAGTTATACTGCTTCAACGCCTTCTCATAATTATTCTCAAAGCTGTTTTTAATCTACAGGAAAAGAGAAAAACAAGAAAAGCACCAGAAAATGTTCTAATTCTAGGTCAGGTAAGAAATTCTCACATCTGATGAACAGTGATATAATTGATATGTAGTAATCAACTTCCATGATTTAATTCCATCCTATACAAGATCCAGTCTAGCTGAGGGAACTACTAAGCAAAATATTATATGATGATAACTACACCAAAGTTCAAAGTGCTATGGGAGCAAATGTTTTTCTCAGCGGCAGCTCTGTATTGCTTGTTCTACTCCTTAATCCCCTACACCCACTCATACTCTTTTCCACTTTAAATTGAATACAAATTTGATGCCTATGGAATTAAGCTACAAAACCTTATGTTGGAGACTATAAAAAATGTTCTCATTGATGAGTTGTCACTACACCGAATGATTACCTAACAACGTGAGGTTAATCTTATTTCAAATTCAATATTAAATTTTTAATTATTCGCATTAAGTATAGTGAATCTTAAAAATGTGTAGCTTCTCAATCTGTCATAGCTAAATCTTGGAAACAACCCAAATGCCCATAACCTGAAGAACGGATAAAAAAGATATAGTATTTTTACATACTGGAGTATTACTCAGCTATAAAGAAAGATAAACTCGAGGCTTTTGTAGGTAAATAGATGCAACTTGAGGCAAAACTCATAAGTGAAATAAATCAGACTCACATGGGTAAACATTGTATTGTCTTCCTAGTGTAAGAACCTGAAACAACAAATAAAATCTGAAAGGTACGATAGATGTACTAGAACAGAAAAAAAAAGTTAACCTAAGGAATAAGCAATTGAGATGAGGGAAGGGAGAAAAGATAGGAAAAAAAAAGGAAGGGCAGCCAGCCAAGTAGCTCAGTGGATTCAAGCACCTGTAAGCAGGCTCAGGGGCAGGGGGTGTGATCCCCGGGCCTGGCAAGTCAGCCCCGCCCCCAGGGCGTGCTGAGACAGTGATTGAGACTGGGCGTGGTGGCACACGCCTGTAATCCCATCTCTTGGGAGGCTGTAAACAGGATATCACTACAAATTCAATCTAGTAGTGAGACCCTGAGCACCCTGTAGACCCTTCCCTAAAAATACAAATAACAAAAAGAAAAAAAATAAAAAAAGGAAGGGGGAAAAATCATGTATGTATATACCCAGAATAGTTACGATAATTGTACTACTAATTGCTATCAGGTTTTTTTTTGTATTTTTTCTTTTTTAGCGAAGGCCTTATAGGGTGTTCAAGGTCTCACTACTAGATCGGACAGATGATCCACCTGTGTACAGCCTCCCAAATGCTTGGATTACAGGTGCGCGCCACCACGCCCAGTCTCAGTTGCCATCTCAGTGCACCCCAGGGGTGGGGCTGGCACCGAAGGCCTGGGGATCGAACCCCCAGCCCCTGCTCTATCAGCTTTTTGAAGGTATAATTTATTGTTTAAAATTTTTACTTTAACCAATTTTATATGCTATTTGTAATCTGAGCAACTACATTGAAAACAGCAATGTGTAATACAACAGCAGTCGAATAACTTTCATCCTGTTTTTTCAAATGTATATCATCTCGAATATCTTATCTATTATTTCTATACTCTCTTAAAGTGAATAAACGTAAAAAGGACTAGGAAACAATTGAAGTTTATTGAAAGGAAGAGTTAATATTTAATTGATCAATCCTAAATGCCTATATCTGGTAATCGCAACAACAAATTTGATGATAATACATAACATAATAACCATTGCTAATTTTCTGTTGTTTTGAAATTGTGTACCACTTCTACTATTTTCCACTGATTTGTTGTTTTTGTTCTTGTGAATTCTTTTATTTTTTCCTCTTTAAAAATAATATAGGGGGGAAATACTCATTGGGGCCCCCCCTCTTGTCCCTCTCTCCAGACAGGAGCTTTCTTTCTCTCAATAAATATATAATAATAATAATAATAATAATAATAATAACAATAATAAATAAATAAACAAAGTGTATCCTGCCAAGCTTGGTGGTGCATGTCTATAATTCCTGCACTGGAGAGGCTGGAGCAGGATGATAACCACAAGTTCAATGTCAGTCTGGGTTACATGAACTCAGGGCCAGTCTAAACTACATGGCAAGACTGTCTCAAAAAGAAATGAGAGGGGGCTGGGGAGATGGCTCAGTGGAATAAGTGCTTCCCTGGCAATCACAAGGGCCTGAGTTCAATCCCTGGTTCTGCCAAAAAAAAAAAAAAAAAAAAAAAAAAGAAAAAAGAAAGAAAGAAATGAGTGGCTGTAAGTAGAAAAGGTAACAACTTTCTTATCAATTTTATATTTTATTTTCCCACCAGTTTAAAGTTATAAATACTACAAATAGTTACAATACTCTCATACTATCTCCTTTTTTTGGTACCAGAAAACAAATTCAGGACCTTGTGATTATCTAACTTTTTTATTTTTGGTGGAACCGGGGATTGAACTCAGGTCCTTGCGATTGCCAGGGAAGTGCTTATTCTACTGAGCCATCTCCCCGGCCCCTAAGGATCTTGTGTTTAATCAGTACTTATGACAGAAAAATAACTTGTTCCCATGTAATTATGATTAATTTTCATTTAATTCTTGGCTACTGACTTTGAAATTTTAATTTACATTAAAAGTGGGCTACTTCAAAGTCCTACAGAAAATTGGAATAGATGGCCTCTACTTCAATCTGATAAAAGCCATCTATGACAACCCAACAGCTAATATAATTCTAAATGAGGAAAAACTGAAATCTTTTACTCTCAGATCTGGTACAAGACAAGGATGTCCTCTATCACTACTACTATTCAATATATTTCTGGAATCATTAGCTACAGCCATTAGACAAGAGAGAGAAATGAAAGGAATAAGAATAGGTAAAGAAGAAGTTAAATTATCATTATTTGCAGAAGATAGGATACTGTATTTGGAAGATGCAAAAAACTCAACCAAGAAGCTACTAGAATAGATACACAAATTCAGTATCATAGCAGGATACAAAGTCAATACCCAAAAGTCAATAGCATTCTTCTACACAGATAAGAAACACAATGAATGGGAAAATAGAGAAACAATACCTTTTACAATACCACCATGTAAAATGAAATACTTAGGAATTAATCTAACCGAAGAAGTAAAAGATCTATTCAATGAAAATTACAGTATGCTGAAAAAAAGAGATCGTAGAGGATTTCAGAAAATGGAAAGATGTTCCCTGCTCCTGGATAGGAAGAACATTGTGAAGATGGCCACACTCCCAAATTTTGTGTACAGTTTTAATGCAATCCCTATCAAACTACCACCAACATATATCACAGACCTAGAGAAATAGTTCCTAAAATTTATTTGGAACCAGAAAAGATATATAATGGCAAAGGTAATCCTGGGCAACAAAGACAAGGCAGGAGGCATTACAATTCCTGACTTGAAATTATGCTACAAGACTAATGTGATAAAATCAGCATGGTATTGGCAAAAAAAATGGACTTGAGAATCAATGGAATAGATTAGAAAATACAGACGCAACTACAAACACACTCAGCTATCTTATGTTCCACAAAAGGGCCAAACATACTTGATGGAAGAAAGATAGCCTCTTTAACAAATGGTGCTGGAAAAACTGGCTCTCTACATGCCAAGAACTAAAGCTTGACTCAGGCCTATCACCATATACTAAACTAAAATCAAAATGGAATAAAGATCTAAACATTAAAACAGAAACACTAGGACTGACCAAATAGCTCAGACGATTAAAGCGACAGAAAGAAGGCTCAGGGACCAGGGGTTCGATCCCTGGGCCTGCCGTGCTGGCCCTGTCCCTGGGGCACACTGAAATGCAACTGAGATTGGGCGTGGTGGTACGCACCTATAATCCCAGCTCTTGGGAGGCTGTAAAGAGGTGGATCACTATGAGTCTGATGTAGTAGTAAGACCCTGAACACCCTGTAGACCCTTTCCTAAAATAAATAAATAAATAAATCAGAAACACTAAATCTCCTGGAAAAGAAAGTAGGGAAAACTCTTAAAGACATGGGGATAGGCAAGCAGTTCATGAACAAAAATCATACTGCATAGGTAATACTTGAAAGAATTAACAACTGGGACCTCCTCTTATTGAGAAGTTTTTGCACGTCAAAAGAAATTACCAGTCTGGGGAGATAGCTCAATAGCATAAGTGCCTGACTGGTAATCACAGGGTCCTGAGTTCAATCCACAGTAACACACACACACACACACACACACACACACACTCACACACTAAAGAAAAAAATTACTGAAAGAGTGAAAAGACAACCCACAAATATGGAAAAAATCTTAACTAATAAGCACTCATACAAAGGTCTGCTCTCTAGAATTTATAAAGAACTAAAAAACATTAGGAAAAAAAAAACATTAAAGACCCAGTCCAGAAATGGGCATCCAAGATGGACACACACTTCTCAGAGGATAAAATTAAGGAAGTGAATAAATATATGAAAAAATGCTCCACATCATTTGCCAGCCGTGAAATGCAAATTAAAACAACACTGAGATACCATCTCACCCCAGAAAGATTGGCTATCTAAAGAAATCAACCAACAACAAATGTTGGAGAGGCTGTGGGGGAGAAGGAACCCATCTCCACTTCTGGTGGGAGTGTAGACTGGTGCAACCATTATGGAAATCAGTGTGGAGTCTCCTTAAGAAACTAGGGCCCCAGACCCAGTCCTAGCCCAGGTCCGGTGAGTGTGCGGAGAGCTTCCTGCTACCCTGTGCCAGCGGGACCAGTCCCAGCCCAGGCGCAGAGTGGGCC